GGAGTAAAGAGTCTTTGTGCCAAGTGAAAAGTCATGATGTGACCCCCATCATGACTATTTTGGGGCAAATTTGAGGGGAATGAATGGAGAAGGTTTGTGCAGGGAACTGCAAGAAAATGTGTGCTGGGGTGGGGGAAGCGGGCGTGAGCAGAGGCGTGGGCAGAGGGAGGTCAGGCATGGGCAGGGCTGAGGGCAGGGGTGTGCAGGCAGGGGTGAGGGCAGGGGTGCGGACAGGGGGGTGAGGGCAGAGGTGTCTGTGGGGATGGTGCAGGGGAGTATTCCCAGAGTGGGTGGTTGCCTGTCCCTCTGGCCTGATGTGGTTCTGGGTTGGTTTTGCAGAAAAGGCCGACGGGACCGCTGTGGACATCTTCTCCTTCGGGATGTGCGCACTGGAGGTACGCGGCAGGGCTGCTGCGGCGCTGGGAACCAGCAGTGATCCCTGGTTGAAGGGCGGGATTGTTTTTGCCAAGCCTGCCAGGGATTGCAGTGGCCTCGGGAGCTTCCCAAGGAGTCTCCTTGCCCTTTTCCAAACCTCACTGTGAGCTGGGGATCCCTTGCAGAAATGAAGACATCGCTGCTGGGTTCAGAAGAACATTTTTTTCTGCTGCTGTGGGTGTAGCAAGAGGCTTTGCTCCCCTCTCCTGTGCTCGGCTGGTGCCTCCTCTTCCTCCTCTGGCTGTGACAGCCCTGGGAAGGAGGGCACAAAGGGCAAGGACAGACCGTGCTGCGCCAAGCACAGCGTGCTGGGGCAGGCTGTGGGGCTGTCGATGCTGCCTGTGCTGTCCCCTGGTCTGCATGGTGCCTGGGGAGCAGCCTCCCAGCTCTGTCCTGCCTGTGAGCAGCCTGGAGTGCTGTGGGAGGCAAGGAACGGGCCCCAAGGGGACGCGTGTCCCTTGGAGAAGCTCTCAAGGACGGACCCAGGGCTTGGCCACATGCAGATGTGGCTGTACCCCTTCTTCCGCAGATGGCAGTGCTGGAGATCCAGACCAATGGGGACACGCGGGTCTCGGAGGAGGCGATCATGCGGGCACGACATTCTCTGGACGATCCCAACATGCGAGTGAGTACAGCTGGCTGAGCCTCGGGGACCCATCTGGGGGTCAGGCATCCCTCCTGGGCTGTGAATCTCCCCAGAAACGTCCTTCCCCTCGGCTGGCAGCCTGGCATTGCTGCACACTCCAGGTTATGCCAGTGCTGGGAACAGGAACAGGGACAATGACCTTCTGCAAACCTAAGGGCAGCCAGATCTGGTGGGCTGAGAGACACAGGGATTCCCTCCCTCCTGGGCTGGTTGAGATGAGGGGCTGATCCTGTGAATCTGCTGCGTGTGAATTCCCAGTAGGTGCACGTACACACACACGTGCCTCGTACAGACATGGCCAACCGCCAACGGCACAGATGGAGTGGGCACACACAGCACAAGCAGCCAGAGCCTGCTTCCACAGGTCACTGGCATCTGGCCCCATCCCACAAGTCTCCCTGTTACAGATCAGCCCCAGGTCTGTCTGGTCTCTGTGCCCCCTCCCCAAGGTTTCCTCTCCCCAGCCAGTCCAGCTTGTTGTTTGTCAGAGGACCAGATGCGCTCACAGGGAACAGGGAACAAAATTACCCTGTGAATACTTGAGGACAGAGTTTAATAAGAAGACAGGATAGATGCAGGTGCTGGGATGCAGGGCTCAGCTAGACACACGTACTGACCAGCGCAGTGCTCACGGCAGCGGGCACCTTTCATCCCCCTCCACCTTCCTCCCTGACACACCTCAACGCCTCCCTTCCTCTTCCTTTGGCCAATCTCCAAAACATCCCATAATAAGTTTGTACACTCCTCAGATTCTCCTGTTTGATCTCAGAATTCCCGCAGGCACCTCACAGTAAATCCTACCCCTTTGCTGCGATAGTTCCCTCGTTTGCGTAGTGCCGCAGAGAGATTCTTCTGCTGAGCCGCCAGCACCAAGGGCCAATGGCACCGCTGTTCCCCCCCGGTGGTCTTTGGGGTAGCTGATTCAGGGGGGTGAGGTTGTGGGGATGCCCACCCCGTCATCCTCCTTCTGATCATTTTTCAGTCTTTGCGTCTGTTCTGAACAGCCCTAGCTAGGTCCCTGTACAGAAGCTGCACAGACCAGTTCATGGCTGGAGCATGCAGAGGAGGCAGAGGATTCTGCTTTTCTGCCATCAATGAGCAGAAACAGGCAGATGCATCCCTCCCATCCTGCCGCTGTCAGGAATCCCTCCCGCTGGCTCGGTCAACCCTTTCCCCAGTCCCACCACCATCCTTCCGGAGGGTTGCTGCTCTCCAAGCAGATCTGGGCTGGCTGCAGGGATACAGCCCTGCCTGTTCTCCCTACAGCCTTCGCTGGGCTGGTGACCCTTTGCCAGGCTGGTGACCCTTTACTTTGCTTCAACCCTCAGGAGTTCATCCTGTCGTGTCTCACCCTCAATCCGGACAAGCGACCGACAGCGAACAGCCTGCTTTTCCACCGGGTGCTCTTCGAGGTCCATTCCCTCAAGCTGCTGGCAGCACACTGCTTCATCAACAACCAGTGTGAGTAACCGCGACCACCCTGCCCCCTCTGAGCTGGTGTGGCCACCCCGGCAGAGCCGGGGGTGCGGAGGAGCCTGGGGAGAGGGGCAGTGACCCACAGAGCTGGGGGTGTGGAGGAGCCTGGGGAGAGGGTCAGTAACCCGCGGAGCTGGGGTTGTGGAGGAGCCTGGGGAGAGGGGCAGTGACCCACAGAGCTGGGGGTGTGGAGGAGCCTGGGGAGAGGGTCAGTAACCCGCGGAGCTGGGGTTGTGGAGGAGCCTGGGGAGAGGGGCAGTGACCCACAGAGCTGGGGGTGTGGAGGAGCCTGGGGAGAGGGTCAGTAACCCGCGGAGCTGGGGTTGTGGAGGAGCCTGGGGAGAGGGGCAGTGACCCACAGAGCTGGGGGTGTGGAGGAGCCTGGGGAGAGGGTCAGTAACCCGCGGAGCTGGGGTGGGGGTGTGGAGGAGCCTGGGGAGAGGGGCAGTAACCTGCGGAGCTGGGGTTGTGGAGGAGCCTGGGGAGAGGGGCAGCGAGTCGCAGACCTCCCCCAGAGTCCGTGCTGTAGAGCCCGTGGTTCGGGACCTCCCTGCTGACAGCCCTGCTCTACTGTTGCTCCAGATCTGATGCCAGAGAACGTGGTGGAAGAGAAGATAAAGGAACTAGACCTGAACATGGTGATGGCAGAGATCCGGAGAGAGGGTCGTCCTGGAGCACAGTGGAGGTGAGGACGAACCGGGCAGATTTCAGAGCAGCCACAGACACCAGCCTGGGTCTTGCACCCAGCCTGGTGACCCTGCTGTCATGGCACAGTCGCCCATCACACTGCTCTTCTCTCCTGCTGCCCTCAGTCATCCTCCTCTTCTGCTTCTCCCCCAGGTACTCAGAGGTCTCCTTTCTTGAACTCGACAAATTCTTAGAAGACGTCAGGTGGGTTGAAGATGGTGCTGCTGACCCGTAATGTCTTTGTGGTTCCCCCAGGGGCGAGCAGACCTGGGCTGCGGTGCCAGGGCGAGGGGAGCTCTGTGGCTGTCCCCTCCCAGCCCTACAGCTCTATGGGGACAGAGCCCTGCTCTGGGCCATGGCCCCCCACGGCTGACCCGTGCCAGGGCTGTCCAAGGACAGGGCTCAGATGTTTGTCCTCTCTCTGTGTCTGAACCAGGAATGGGATTTATCCCCTGATGAACTTCGCTGTCTCCAGACCCCACGCCCTCCCCCGTGTGCTCTCCCAGCCCCAGGAGGACCCTCAGAAAGCCAAGACTCCCACCCCAGAGCCTTTTGATGTGGAGACCAGGAAGGTAAGGACAGATTCTGCACTGGGAGCAGGTGGACAGTCTCCATTCCCAACACCCTGCTGCAGGAACACCTTCAGCCACGCACTGAGCTCCAGCCCGGGCAAGAGCCGGTTTTGGTGCATTGGCTGCCCCAGGACTGCAAGAGTTCCTTTGGCTGGAACTTGTGAGATCCGTTGCACCTGAGACCTTTTGGAGCAGCCCTGTTGCCCCTGATTCTGTGGCTCTGCCTTCCCTCCTCCCACATCCACCGGCAGCTCTGTGGCATGGTGTGTTCTGTGCCCTGGTGCAGTCGTGTGGGTTTGAAATCCCATTGCCGTTCGGTACCAATGCTGCGGTGATGTGGGTTTGAAATCCCATCACCGTTCGGTACCGATGCTGCGGTGGTGTGGGTTTGAAATCCCATCGCCATTCGGTACTGATGCTGCATGCATGCCGAGATGCCCCATTTGCCTGGCACAGCACAGGCGGGATCGCACACCTGACACTGGCGTCATGGTCAGGAAGGTTGTGGCAGGTGGGTTTATGGACCCCCAAGGGGAGCGGAAGGGGTGCCAGGCAAGGAGGACCAACAGCACGGGTGTGTTTGAGCAGAATGAAGCCTTCCAAAGCCGTGGTGTAATCCCTCGCTGAGCGGAGCAGTTCACACCGCAGCGTAACCCCCCGACGGGTACAGGCAGGCTGCCCAGGACCCCCCCAAAGCCTCCCCTTCTGCAGGCTGAACAAGCCCTGTTCCCTCCGAGGGCAGCACTCCAGCCCAGGATCATTTTGACGTCCCTCCACTGGACTTCCCCCAGTTTGTCACCGTCTGTCTTGTTTTGGGGGCCCACAATTAGATGCAGTATCTGGATGTAGCTTAACAAGTGCTGAGTAGAGGGGAATAATTATTTCCCTCGATATCCTGGCTCTGCCCCAGGATGCTGCTGGTGTCCGTGCTGCCAGGGCACATCACAGCTCGTGTCCCACC